CCCCGCGGTGGCCGCAATGTTCGAAAAAGGTCCGATAAGACTCCCACGGCATTGTCCCGCCTCTCGCCTCCAGCTCGGGAAGAAGCAGACCAGAAACAAGTCGGTGATGTCGGCGGTGCCATGCCGGCCGCGACGCCGCGACGCCGCGACGAGCACCGCCAATCAGGAGCGCGTTCCCTTTCACTCACTCTCGTTTTCCCGGCCGCCTCGACCCGTCGCGGCGTGTCCCGCGGCAACAACTAACAACCCGGCGGGGATTCGAACCCGGCGCCGCGCGCCGCGCTCCGCACGCGACCTTGGGCGCCAAACAGGAGGCTGGGCTGGAGAGGAAAAGACGCGCGCGACACCCCAAGGTCACCAAGGTCACCCCGCCGGTCCGAATGGCCGAATGGCCGAATCCCAACCCAAATGTGAAATTCGCGCACCCGGCCATTCCGTTTTCGTGCGCGGCCTTTGACAAATTAACGACGCGGTGTCGTGTCGCCGCGCCGCCCCCGTTGCCGCGTCTCCACGCCACGCCAGGCCACGTCACGCCACGCCGCGGCGCGCCACGAGGCTGCGCGCTGCGCGATATTCGGCGTTCGGCGTATTGATTGACGTTCCGCCGAGGCCGGCCAGCCTGCGGCCAGCCTGCCGCCAGCCTACGGCCAGGCCAGCCCAGGGACGAGGACGAGGCGTGGCGGACGGCCGCTCCGGCGACTCCGGCTCGGCGCGGCCCGGCCCGGCCCGGCCATGGCGGCGCGGCTCGCTGCGGCCCGGCGGCCGGGCCTCAAGGACGCCAAACAGGCCTAAGCCCTGGAGAAGGTGCTGCCGGCGTTCGCGCGTTCGCGGCCCGGAGTTTGCACAGTGATTACCTGATTAAGTACGGGCCGCGGCCATTCCGACCGCCTTGGCCGTCCCGGCCTCAAGGACGGGCCTCCTGTTGCGTGCCGGGCGCCGCTCCGGGCGTCCTCGACGGCGACGTGCTCGACGGCGGCCTTCTTGTGCAGCCGAGGGAATCGGGGCCGGGGCGTCGCGCTTAAGGGCGCCCCCCGGGGCCCTGCTTATCAGGCACCTGTTGGGGGTATCGGAGAACGACCTGGGGGTAAACAGGGGCGGCGCGGGGCCGGGCACTTAGAAAGCTGGAGGGAAGGGACGGCGCGCGGGGCACAGATCGGCGTCGACGGCGAGCTCATCGCGAGGCCACTCCTCGCCAAACAGTCGGTGTTTGCGCGCACTAATGGCGGCCGTCGAGTCGGACCTGTTGCGCGGCAGCCCGGCCGGCCCGGCCCAGAGCAGGCGGTGCACGCCGTGCTGCAGCAAGCTCGGAGGCTCGGAGGCGCGGCAGGCGCCACCCTGGGCGGACGCGCGGCCGGGGCTGCATCCCAAGTGCCCACACTGCAGTGCGCTGCGTCGACGATAACGCGGAGATGAATTGCCTTTTGATTGGGGGTCTGATCACGGAGCTGCCATGCCGGGGCGGCGGGGCGGCCGAGGACCTCTGCCAGAGCAGGAGCGGGGGCCATGTCGGCCTGTGTCCCAACCTGTGTCCTGCTAACTCCGAACAGTTTTCGGTGTGTTACGCGAAGCTCAGTTCGGAATGAGCCTCCTGGCCAACAACGCCAACAACACCAACGACACAACCCCGGAGGCGACAAGGACGCCGATATTGATCCCCGCGACCGCCTCCTCTCCGCCACCCCGTTTCCAAGGCTGTTCAATCCCCCTCCCCCGCATCCGTACCTGCCGAGAGGAGGCCGCGAGAGGGGGCGTGTTTCGCGGGTGGGAAAGGACTGAGCCACAGTTTGCCGTCCTTGCGAGGCTAGCTGCCTCGCCTTCTTTGACTTTCTGTCCCTACTTTGATGCCCTCCGTACACCATAAAACGGCAGGCGGGGAGGGGAAGGGGCGCTCCTTTGACGCGACTGGCGCGACCGCGAGATGTAACACGGCCCGCGGCAGGACACCCGCACCGCTCGGGCGTCGCGACGAGCTGCCGATACGGAGCTAATGACGTCATTTCCACTTTTGAGCTGTGTGCTCTGTGTTCCGTGTGTGGGAGAAATGGTCCAAACTGCCTCTCGGCCGGCAGAGGGAGGGGAGAGGGCTGCGCCGCGACTGTTGCCTGTTTGATCCCCCTCCCCTCCCCCTTTCCCTCCGGGCCGGTGCGCCGCGGCGGAGCCGGCAGAGCCGGCAGAGCGTGCGCGGGGCGTCCTCGCGAATGGATGGAAGCGTGGAGGGGGGAGCGTCTCCATTCACCTTGACAGTGACCCACAGCTCGCCGGCCCGCCCGGCGTAGCCCGGCGGAGTGCAGACCGGGGGCCCAAGTGAAGAGGCCGGCCGGGGAGAGGCCCTGCTCCTAGGAGAGAACGACGCCGACGGTCGTTCCGGTTCGGCCGCCGGCTGTTCCCTAGCCAAGTAACGCCGTGGCTCTGTCTCTCTCGCAACGGCACGTGAGTGCGACAGAGACGCAGCGACTCCTCGGCGTCGGCCTGCGGGCTCCTGCTGCACAGTGGACCGCCAAACGCCAAACTAACGCGCACGGCCGTCCGTCCATCCCTCTATTTTTAGAAGGGGTTGGGCCGCGCACCGCACCGGCCGGCCGGCGGGCTGAGTGAGAGTCGCTGTGACGGACAGGCCCCGTGCGACGCCTCGCCCGCCTCGCCCGCCTCGCCGTGCACGTCATGACGGACAGGACGTCGGCGCCATTAGGACGCTGGTCGCCTGCTGCTGCCGCTGCCCATGTGCGTGGCGGCCAGGACGCCGGCCAGGACACCGGCCAGGTCGGCGCCGAGCTTCTAGGAGCGCAGGCAACGCCGTGGCCGCCAGACAGTGATGCGACGGCCATTAACGCCGGCGTGACGCTGCGGCTCGTTTTACCGACAAGCAGCCGCGGTGATCGACAGCAGGCAGATTTCGAACAGCGCTTTCCTCTCTGGTCTCTCTCGCACTGCGAGACGCCCCAGGAGTGCGACGAAGACAGAGCAGCGGAAGCTCTGTCCGGAATCTGCGTGCAGTGCGCGTCGACGGCCTCCCCGAGCAGCCGGCTGGAGCGCCGTGCTGGGTAGGCAACCCGATCGCAGCCCTGCGCCGCTGGCTCCGCGCCCTCCCGGCGTTCGGCCGGCCATCCACGCCATCCACGCCATCCACCGGACGCGGGGGTGGCGACTGTCGATGGCGCACGCGCACTGGAAGGGCCTGAATGGTGCCGTCGCCGGGGCACGGCCACGGGGCACGTGCTGTCACGGCGTCGCGTCGCGTTCGCCCCGTCAGGCCGTCACGCTCCGCGAGTGCTCGACGACTCGGCCACGGCCAGGGCCTCGTCGGCCTCGCTGGCCTGTGGGCGGCCCTTCCGGGGCGCGACGCGCGACGCCGCCGTCCTGGCTGACGACCTCCAGGACGACGCGGGGGCGGCGGCGCCGGGGAAAGCATTCGAGAGCGACATCTGGACCGGTTCGTTTTTATTGTTTTCATCGTCAGTCACTTTCGACATGTGTGGGCGGCCCGACGTCGCTGGGCTCCGTGTTCATGATCACGCGCGGCGCAGAGTGGGCCAGAAACCGGCGCAGGCGGCCAAAATTCGAGACGCATTTTGAGCTCCAGAGTCGCTAAATGGGGCGAGCGTGTGACCCCACCAATGGATTCCTCGTTCGGAGAGCAATCCATTGGTGTCTCATTTAGCGACTCTGGAGCTCAAAACGCGTCTCGAATTTTGGCCGCCTGCGCCGGTTGCTGGCCCACTGTGCGGCGTCACGCGGCCCCCAGCAGGCTCATTCCAAACAGTGCTTTCGTCGCTCTGTCTCTTTCGTCCTCAGCAGGCGTCCCGCAGGCGCGCGAGGGAGACAGAGCGACGAGTGGTTCCGCAGCCACCCGCGTTCCTTGTCGCCAGGATGATCCCCGGCGTGTTGGCCCAGCGATAAAAGCGTCTCGTATTTTATTTCTTGTTTTTGAAGCCGTCGTTGCGACCGAGCGCGGCGCGGCACGCCTCTCTGTTTTACCCGCGCGTTTTGTCCGTCGCGGTGCGATTTTGCGGTGGAAAAATGACGGTATGGCGGGTCGGCAGCTCGAAGTTCAACCACCGCCTCTGGCCGCACGATAGACGATAGTGCGCACGTGAGTGAACGATAGTGAACGATAGTGGGACAATGGTTCCTACCGCATACCGCTAGCCGCTAGGGTGGGCACCTTCGGAATCCAACTTCCCCGCCCCTTCCCGTCTCCCTCCGAACCTTCATCCCCCCTCCCCCGGGTATAATTGACACTCGGCCAACGTGATGGACGGGGAACAAGAGGAGCTCTTTTCGTTAGCGGGGAATTTGTTTCGGTGGCAGTCAAGCAGTGCTTGTTACCCAACGGGCGGGGAAGGGACGGTGTCTTAAGAGTACCAGGACTTTGAGGGAGGCCTTCTTGTGCCCGGTCCGATCCTCAGGTCCTCAGGCAGTGCTTGCCGCCCGGTCCAAGCACCTGCCGATTTGCGCCGCCCGCCGTGCCGCCGCCGTGCCGGCCGCCAACCGTGACCGGTAGCCGATAAGCCACCGCGGGCCCGGGGCACGACGGGCACGTGCTCGTCGTCGGCGGCGGCCTCGGCGGCCTGGAGGGGCGCGAGGGGGAGTCGCCGCCGCAGTGCCGGCCAAATCGGCCGGGTGCACTGACTGGCCGCGGCCGCGCGGACTTCGTTGCCGAATTTATTTCCTGCGGCGCGGAATACCTGCGCGAGCCAAGGCTGCCACGGCTGCCAAGGCTGCCAGGGCGGACCGACGACCACCGGGACTACCGGTGCCGGGGCCTTGCCGGCCTTGCCCTTGCCCACCCTGCGGCCCACGCCTTGCCACGCCCATTCACTCATTTGGCTCGTTCGGCCACTCCATCAACGTCGCTATTTCGGTTGGTCAGTAGGTGGCGGCGTGGCAGGGCGTGGCGGGACGCCGCCGTCACCGCAACCCCTCGACGGCCACGTCCCTGACGGCCAATGAAAGCGAAACACCCCTGCACCGCCTCACGAACCCTTCCTCTTCTGTTCCAGGGTGCGATGGGACGCTGGAGGTCGTTCTACAGTCGAGCATCGACAGACGTCGACATGACCGCCAACAACGAGAACAGCTACACGACGACGGCGCTCCCGGAGCACAAAAACGGCGGCACTGAAGTGGCCGTCATCGCCACCGTGCCCGTGGCCGCCAACGGCCTCAAGAAGGACAAGGACGCCACCAACGGGTCGTGGCACGCGCCCGGGGACGCCGTCACCGACCCGCTCAACCCCGTCACCGGTAAGGCTAGCTAGGTCTCCCATTTTTACGCCGCCGGCCTTCGCTGCCGCGCCTCGGCGGCCCTAGAGTGCCCCGGCCCGGCCCGGCCGCTGGCTGCAGATTTCCACTGCATAATTGCAGGTGGGAAACGAAACAAACACTTTCGCCTTCTTGGCGGCAGGGCGCGCGGTGGACGGGACGACGTCGTTTTGACGAGTATTTAATGGCGGCCAGGGAAGAGCCTTGCGCGGAACGACGCCGAGAGAGGCGGGGCGGGGCGGGGCGGGGCGGGGCGGGGCGGGGCGGGGCGGGGCGTGGCAGCGAAAGTGTGCTGCTCCGACGCTGTCTGTTACCGAATGCCAAGGACAGGATGCGTCCTCTGCTTCTAAATGAAATAACAGCGACGCTGCCAAGTCCAAGGTCTGTCCGTCTGTCCGTCCGCCACCCTGTGTCACTGTGTGTCACGGCCTGTCCACGTCAGCGCCGACGCCGATTGTCGTCCGTTTCAATTTGGGCGCGAGGCGCGACGCCGGCAAGGCGGCAAGGCGAGGTAGGCAGCCCGCATCGTCCATCGCGGTGCTCGCGGCCTGGCAGCCAAGCCGGCCAAGCGCTCCGAAGAGCCGTTCCGTCGCTCCGTCTCTCTCACACCCACGGGGCGCCCCGCAGGGCCTGCAGGGGTGCGAGAGAGACAGAGTGACGAAATGGCTCTTCGGCCTGCAGGGCGCAGCAGCGCAGGCCGGCGCGAGGGACATTCACCCGCCCTCCCTCTTCCTGGGTAGAAAATAGAGTCGGTCGAGGCGAGGGGTGCGACGCGGACGCGAGGCGCTGCGCTGCGCCCTGGCCACCGCGGCCACGCGGCACGCCACTCTGAAAAACAAAACACTCCATTTGCCGCCGTTTCAAAACCCTCTTTCCTCTCCGCTTGTTGCAGCCGTCGTGGACGATGGCGACCTCGACGACGTCGACCTGGAGGAGATGCAGTGCGGCTTGGGCCCGTGCACGCCGCGCTGGATGCAGATCTTCGCCTCGAAGCAGGCTTTCCTCGCCACGTTCTGCATCACGTGGGTGCTGCAGGGCATGTACTACACGTACTTCGTGTCCGTCATCACCACCATCGAGAAGCTCTTCCAGATCCAGTCCAAGACGACGGGCTTGATCATGAGCGCCACCGAGATCGGGCAGATCGGCTCGTCGCTTCTGCTCACCTACTACGGCGGACAGGGCCACCGACCGAAGTGGATCGCCTGGGGTGAGTTTGCACCTGCCCGTCGACGCCCGTGACGCGCCGACGCGCCACGCCGAGTCTGGAATTCCCTGGCGTTCGCGCTCGCACCCCACCGTGCAGGCCTACTCCCTACTTGGCCGTCTGCCGGCTGTGCCCTGTGCCCTGTGCCCCGGCTGTGCCGGCCGCGTCTAGTTGAAAAACGGCGTCCCCTTGCCCCTCTGCCTCGCGCGCCTCGCGCCCGCGCATCCCGGCGACTCTCTCTCGTCCAGATTTCGCAGGGGCAGGCTGGCGCGCTGGCGCAGGCGAAGCGTCGGTGAACAGGTTGGACGGAACCGTTACGGCCCGGGCCGGCCCCGCCCCGTCGGACCGCGTCGGACCGGTTGGAGCCTCGTCCGCTCACTTGCACTATCAACAAGGAGCGCAGCGCTCATTCAGTCACTTGCACTATCGATACAGTACCGCGGCACCACGGCACCGCGGCGCAGGCACTCAGGCACACCGCACGCCATTCGCCGGCCGGCCGACCAGGGCGTTCGCCCGGCGTTCGCCACTTGCACTATCGACCGTGCCGCGGGGCGGGGCGGGGCGGGGCGGGGCGGGCGTGGCGCGGCGTAGTACACCCCACTACTTGCACTATCTGCACAAGCGTGGGCAAGGGCAGGGATGTGACGTGTGCCTGGGGCAGCCTGGGGCAGCCCGACGTATCGCCGCTAGAGCCGCGCCGCCCATCATGGCCACGCCTTCCTCTTTTCGCCATTTTAACGTTTAACGTTTCTTTCTCTCTCTCTTTTTCTCTTTCTCTCTTTCTCCTTCTTTCTTCATCTCTCTCTCTCTTTCTCTCTCTTTCTCTTTCTCTTTCTCTCACTCACTCTCTCTCTTCTCTCTCCCTCTCTGCAGGCATGGTGTTGTTCGCCGTGTCCTCCTTCACCTGCTCCATGCCGCACTTCATCTTCGGCAAGCAGCTGATCCACGCCAACGACCTCCTCTTCAGCGGCGTCGTGTCCACGCACGCCGCGCGCGGCGGCAGCGGCGGCAGCGGCCCCGCCCCGGGCTCCGAGCTGCACACCATGATGAACACGTCGGAGCCCGTGCCGCCCAACATCTGCCGCGCGCCGAGCAGCTTCGCGGAGCACCTCGACGAGGACTGGGACTCCAGCAAGTACAACTCCAGCGTGCCGTGGTCCACCCGCCTTAAGTGAGTGTCTTCGTGCCTTGCAGCGGCGCCGTCGTCGCCACCCCACTGCTAACCGTACTCATCGTCATCCTCTCCCTTTTCCAGGAACAAACGCTGCGAGGAGGAGACGGGTCAGGTGGAGCAGCGGATCCACTCCAAGATCACCACCATCGTGCTGGCCATCTTCTTCATCAGTCTGCTGGGGGTCGGCATGGGCCAGACAGCCGTGTACACTCTGGGCATCCCCTACATCGACGACAACGTGGCCAGCAGAGAGTCGCCCCTGTACTTCGGTGAGCCCTCTCTCGCGCGCCGCGCACTTTCATTATTGAAATCGCTCCCCGGATCGGCGGATCCGTCCATTTGTAGTGCAGGAGCTCATCCCCGCCCCCTCTCCCTTTCCAGCCATCACCATCGGCGTGCGCATCCTGGGGCCGGCGCTCGGCTTCATCCTGGGCTCGCTGTGCACGCGGCTGTACGCGGACCTGTCCGTGGATCCCCAAATAACACCCAGCGACCCGCGGTGGGTCGGCGCCTGGTGGCTGGGTGAGTTGAACATGAACGGCGTACGTACGGCTCAAGAGTCGTTTCGTCGCTCTGTCTCTGTCGCTCTCACGGGGCTTGCCGTAGGGGTGCGAGAAGGACATGGCGACGAAATGGCTCTACGGAATCGCTCGGCTCGTGCCTCACACGACATGGCCCTTTGATAAGACGATAACACTGCTTGCGGTGATAGACAATGCCGCGACCTCCGCCTGCAAGGTCACTGAAAGGTCACTGCAAGGTCACTTCAATGTCAACGCCCTTCGACCTCCACTACAACCTTCTCTGCGCCCGCAGGTCTGGTGCTGGTGTCCTCCATGCTGATGCTGGCGTCCCTGGCAATGTTCTCCTTCCCGAAGAGGCTAAGCACGTCCAGGCCGACACCCAGGGCGTTGCGTCGAGAGAAGAAGAACCCCAGTCTCAGAGGTGAGAGCACGAACACGGCGGCCTTTACGGTGGCCTACCTCCACGGCGACATGCCTCCGCGGTGGCCCGCCACTACGGCGGCCCCGCTGCCGCAAAGCGCACGAAGAGTTGCCGACCTCGAAGGCGGCGGCGCGCAGCGCAGGAACTTGGCTGTGGCGGATGGGTTGCCTGGTCCCACGGCGCGCTGGTCTCAACGCGTTCTGTTTTGCCGCTTGTTCCGCAGACTTCCCGAAGGCGGTGAAGCGACTGCTGCACAACGACATCCTGATGTGCCGGACGGCCAGCAGCGTGCTGCACATCCTCCCCATCGCCGGCATCTACACGTTCCTGCCGAAGTACATCGAGTCGCAGTTCCGGATGCCGGCGCACTCTGCCGCCATGATTTCAGGTGCGGTTTCGGGCCAAATTTCGATCTGCCAGAACGCGCCAAATGGATGTGACTCACTGAATCTCTCTCTCTCAGGCGTCGGCGGCATCCTGGTGATGGGCCTGGGCATCATCATCAGCGGCGTGTTCATCCTGCGAGTGAAGCCGAACGCGCGCTTCGTGGCGGCCTGGATCGCCTTCACGGCTCTCGTCTACGCCGTCGGTCAGTACAGTTTTGCTATCCCATCCGATTGTTATCCAACACCAGAATCTCACGGAGCCCCTGCGCAGGCATGGGCGTGCTCATGTTCATCGGCTGCCCCATGGACGACTTCGCGGGCCTCATGCCGCAGCAGCAGGGGCTGCCCAAGTTCGAGCCCGTGTGCAACCGCACGTGCGACTGCGACCAGGACAAGTTCAGTCCGATCTGTGGCGCGGACGGCAGGACGTACTTCTCGGCCTGCCACGCCGGCTGCACCAACATCACCATAGACAACGGCAAGATCGTCGAGGTATTTAACGATAGTCCAAGTCCATCGCGCCTACGGTACTTTTGCCACTGACTGCACCTAACTTAATTGTTCTTCCAGTACTCGGACTGCCAGTGCCTGTACCCCAACGCGACGGGCGCCTTCAACCCGGGGGATGCCCACTTCCCCGCGCAGGCTAGCATCGGCTACTGCGGCCTCAAGTGCGGCAACTTCATCTGGTACATCCTGCTCTTCTCGCTGTTCGTCTTCATCCACTCCACGTCCGAGGTGGGCTCCATGCTGCTCATCCTGCGCTGCGTGGACCCGCGCGACAAGGCCATGGCGCTGGGCCTCATCCAGTTCGCAATCGGGCTGTTCGGTAAGGAGAAGGCGCGCAAGCGGTCGTTGTCGGAACACGCCGCCTCCAACATGCTGGCTGACGGACTGCTCCTCCTGTTCCAGGCAACGTCCCCTGCCCCATCGTGTACGGCGCCGTGGTGGACTCGGCGTGCCTCGTCTGGGAGACGGCGTGCGGCAAGCAGGGCGCCTGCTGGCTCTACGACGCCAGCATCTTCCGCATGTTCTACCACGGTAGGTAGTACAGTCCCGGATGTGTCAGAGAAACGCTCATTCTCCGGTTTGTTTCAAGATCGAGAGGACTCGCCCTGCGTTTCTCTAACACATCTAGGACTTAGCGGCCTCCAGCCCTGCCGCATGCTGCCGCGTCGCCAGACTCACCCCGTTTTTCGTGCACACAGGGACGACGGGTGCCATCATGCTGTGCGCCTTCTTCGTGGACCTGGTGGTGTGGTACAAGTCTGGCAGCATCAACTTCGTGGACGAGCAGGCGCCGACGCCGAGCCAGGAGGAGGAGCTGAACCCCATCGCGACGTGCGCCAACGGCAACGGCAGCGCCAACGGCAACGGTGCGGGCGCCAAGGCGCGCTCCGAGACCAGCGTATGACAGCACGCCGACGACGGCGCCGACCACGGCACGGGCCCGCCCACCGATGGCGACGCCTGCCGGGTCGACGTCGACGTCGGCCAGGTTCGCGTCGAACAGCGTCCCGACGCTGTGGTGCTGAGCGCGGCGACCCTCGCCGACGACGCCAGCACGGCCCCGCAGCGGGCTGCCCCCGTGCCATAAGCGTGTCGCATAGAAGCACGTCCAGGCCCTGGACTCCGGACTCCAAGAGTGCCACTAGTGCTCGGGGCAGGCAAACAGTTTGCCCGGAGCCTGATGCCTGCTGGGGCTCGCACCGACCTAAAGCACACCAACCTCATATGTCATGTGCCATGACGACAAGAACGTGAACGTGTGTGTGTGTGTGTGTGTGTGTGTGCGCCTGTGTGTGTGCGTGTGTGTGAGGGAGCGTATATATGCGAATGTGCAGTGTGGATGAGAGTGCGAGCAAGTCAGCGTCGTGACGTGGACACGATAGGTAACGTTTGAGCTGGGTGTTTTGGATTGAATCAGAGGTGTCTAATGTATTTTTGTAAACTAATTCAGTAAGTGCTTTGAAAATGAATAGGATTTTTCTTTTTGACTCGTACCGGCCGGTTACACGTGGCCGCGTGCTGGGATGAGTTTGAAGGGGCTGCTTGCATGCGAGCACCTTCTCGCGAACGTACCTGTTAGTAGGGAGGATTTACTTGGTAGAAATTGAACATCACAGGTCTAAGTTACCATTTAACGTTGGTCGGAGTCACTCGGTCTCTGGAGGAGTCATTTCCCCGGACAAGAGTGTCATCTAGGAATCTTCCTATCGAATTAGCACCTGACGAAATTGACGATGAGCGCGTCCAATCCATCTTCATTTGGATGCGAGTTGATGCACTGGCTGATAAGATTGGCCCTTTGCCATGCCTCTCGTTTGTTCGTCCCGATTCGAAATGGTTCGAGAGTCAATGACACATTTTTGTCGTGACGTCGTAGTCTGTGTGTTAGCACGTCACGTTTAGAGCGACGTCGATTCGAAATATTTTGCCTAACTTCCTGTGAGAGATTCCTTATTAGTTATTCCTTTCTAGGATATAAAATCTAGTTATTTGACTATTTTTCACGAGACAGTCCCATCTTATTGTGATAGTCTGTCAATAGTTTCTTTTTAAAGTGATACACTTAACAGAAAAGCCTCAGGTTCTTCATAACTCGTGAGACATTTATTTCATTATGATTAACTTTTTAAAAGATCAACTGCCAGATAACTCAGGTTGTATATTCTACAAACTGCCAATCGCACTCAGGTAAATGAAACTGTAACTGCCAATAATCGGGTTTGAGAAATCTTTAACTGCCACTTGGCTTGCCACTGGGCGCTGCAGTGCGTCCACACTGCGCGCGTTAGCATTAGAGAAATGTAGACCCAGCCTATACTACGAAAACGTTCCCCAAGGATTGAGAATTGGGATCATTTCAAGGCCAAGATGAATCTAATGGACGTCCCTTGACCTTAAGGAGATACTGGTCTGGCTTGGGAGGTGGGCGCGCCTGCTGGATAGGCCACCCATTTGACACCAGTTTGGCGCGTGCCTGGTGGCTCTTTTATCGTTTTCCATTTTATGTCACTTTTGTATTGTTTATTTATAGCGCTTTTTGAAGAAATGATTTCCCTGTCACATATTTGGTTAAGCCTAAGTACTGTAACGGTGTAGCGTCTGTCTATTCCGTCCGTGGCGACCAATGCGATTCCCCGGGGAGGTGGGGGAGGGGGCGTCTGTGGTATGGCCCGACGGGCAGCCACTTGGCCTTGGCCTCCAGTTCGAAAAACGATGAATAAAAGAGAATTCTTGACAGGCCTTATTATATCTGTAAACGTCGATCACTTATCTGCTTTATCTTCTTGCTGTGATATCTGAGAATCTGAGAGCCATTGTCCGTTATAGACATAACTGAAGCGTCAAACGATGGATCTTTGTAAAAACGTAACCGGTTAGTAGACTCTGCTTGGGCAGTGTGCAGGAGGTGACCTCATGTGTGTTCCTTGCATTCTGATCTTGAGCAACTCTAGATGGGATGCCTCACGCGGTCTTCAAAGTCTGTAATAAAATGAATTGTATCAATGTGCACCACTTCTAGAACATTAACATTGTTTTGCTTTACATCTTTATTGCTATTATTTGTTCATAGCGCTGTCTTATGTTGTGCACTCTAGTTAATTTTTTTCTGGAAAAAGGCTGTGAGTTTCTTTGGTTATGTCATTTTCTCAATTTTGATGGGTTGTCGGACATTTGTAAAGAGCTTTATATAGGACGTTAGATAGAATTAGCGTAGAATTTTACCATAAATAAGAACTTTAAATGTAATATATTGTTTTATACAGAGTAAATAAATATTTATTTTCGCTTAAATGTACATATATATTGAGCCATCCTGCATCACGAGATGAAATAACAATTAGCTAAAACAATAAACTCTTGCCTGATTGATGTGCTTCATTTTGCGAGACGCCATGAATCTTCTTCCTTAGTACTGTAGTTTATTGATGACGCCTTTTCACGACTTCTGATAAATTTTCCTAGACATGTTTGAAAATATTATTTGGAAACTGCTGCATTGGCACCTTTACTCTAGTTATGAGAGGAGTAAATTAAAAAGACTTGCTTTCTTTAAGTGAAAAAAAAAATGTTGAATATGTAGTCAAGTTGTAAAAGGCGTCTCAATAAAATTACCATACGGGTATATCAATTAATACTTTTAGAAAACAGGACGGCTACAATAAATCAAATTGGCTGTTTTAACGACGGATATTTTTTTTTGTAAGTCATAAATAAATAAGTTCCTCGAAAACTAAACACAGGACCATTTATTATCGTACTGCACTTTATCCCTGCTCACTCCACGGCACCGAATGAATGGAAAATGAGCCGCAGTGGCCAAATGAGAGAAGTCGCGGCGCGCGAAGCTCTTCGCGGAATGGAGGATGGAACTAGTTTGGACGTCGACCCAGGAAAAAGGAGAAGAAAGAGTCTCCGCGGCTTACGCGCCTTTGCACTGCCTTTCCAAAAGTGTGTCAAGGCAGCTTCCTCGACTGGACATCGAAATCCGGTCCGGTCGCCGGGTCCAGCTGGGTCCGGCACCGGCGCGGGCTGTCAGCAGGGCCCTGGCACTGGCGGAGCCTTGCGCCCCAGAAGTGACAGAGGCAGCAGCAGTTCCTGGTTCGAGAACTGGCCTTTCGATTGGGCCTGATTTAATGCTGATACGCCCAGCCCTTAGAATTTCGCACATTGTTTTACGGCTGAAAGTCCTGCCTCTACGACACACTATGACAGTGTCCGAACTGTTCGTGTTCAAATAGAGAAACTCAGACACTTAATTAAGATAAATCCTCAAAAATGTTCATTGGCTGACGACTGAGTGAGGTGTAAAAGTGAGAGGCTCGCGTGCGAACGGTGGGGCAGTAAAGCACGTCGAAACGAGAAGTTAATGAGCACCGAGGTGAATAAAACGGAGAAATGAACCAACACGCGTGGCGTGGCGTGCGTGGCACTGCGTGCGCGGTGCGGCGCAAGGTCGGAAGTGAAGGCGGACCGGGATGGGCCGGCCAGGCCGGACGAGCAGCAGACTCATTCGTCGCTCTGTCTCTGTCGCACTCGGGGTCCGTCCCGTGTAGGTGTGAGAGAGACAGAGCGACTCATCAGTCTGCTGCTGCACCGGGGCGATGGCGGCGATGGGCGACGCGGGCACTGGGCCGAGCCAGCCGAGCCAGCCACCGAGCCCCGTCAGGCCGCCGGGGAGCCAAGGGCGACGGCCGACGGGGGCAGCGAACTCCAGCCAGGGGGTCCTTGCAGTGGCGACGCATCTACCAGCCCGCAGGGAGGACGACGATGACGACGGCGGCGCCTTGATTTGGGTCAAGAGCACCTGCATCGCCTTCGACGGCGTGTCGGCGCGCAGGTCGGCGTCGCCCGGGGTGGCGGTGGTGGTTCACGCTCTCGCCGCGCGCCCCGCGCACCCCGCCCACGCCCACACCCACACCACGCTCCGGCGGTCCGACGGCGCCGACGCCGGCCGAGTGTGCTCTCTCTGTCTGTCTCTCTCTGTACCGGGTGTGGTCCACGGCCGCATCACGGCCGTGCCGGTGTCGTGCACAAGGAGCGTGCGGGGAAGTAGCGCACGTATGCGCCGGCGGGCGGACGGGCGGACGCGCGCAGCAGAGTCCGTTTCGTCGCTCTGTCTCTCTCGCACTCCCAAGGCATCTCGTAAGTCCGTAGGGGTGCGAGGGAGACAGAGCGACGAAGCGATTCTCCGGAATCGGTCGGCTGGACGCCGTGCGCACTTCCTCGCCGTTTTCCCTTCATGCCCGCCTCGCCTCGCCTCACCGAGGCGCCAAACAAAACACCCGCATTAAAATGAATGAATCGGGCTGAGGACACACTGCAATTCGACGTCCTGCGTAACAAGCAATCTTGCGTCTGTGTGTGCGTGAGCGTGCGTGTGTGGAGAGTGTGCCACATCCACGGTGGGCTCTCCGTAACCAGAACCGCCCTAAACCGGTGCGACCTGCAGTCGAACCGATTCGAACCGGCGCGTACCAGAACTGCAGCGCGCCAAAGTACCCGCGACGCGAACCTACCCCGAGGGAAGCCGAAGGCGCCCGAACGAGCCGGACCGGGCAGTGCCGAAGGTGCCCGAAGGCAGCCGAAGGTGCAGCCGAGCGGCGGGGCGGTCCAGTTTCCAGAAGGTCCCGGAGGAGCCGAGGCGCGAGGGAAGTCCCTGGGCTTGTTTACCCGGCTGCCCAACCAGGAAGGCGTGGAACCGCGAAGCTGCGCGAAGCCGGGCCGCGTTTCGTGCGTCTCGGTCTTCGTCGCTGTTTGTGTGCCGAGCTGATGACATTTTGCAGCGGCGTGACGCAGTCTGGACGCAGTCTGGACGCAGCTGGGGTAAAAATGAACGTGTCACACGCCGCCACGACGTTGCCACTGCCCGGCGCCATTGCCTCACGGGCGCGAAAAAAGTCGCACGGTGCACTGCTGTCGAAAGGGTGGCCTACCTCAGCCTGCCTGCTGCTGGAAAAGTGCCACTCTCTCAACATCCAGTAATCAGTGCATCTTGTGACTCTTCCCCAATTTTTGTGGCAAGGCCAGGAAGCGCGGACAATTGCCACTTTTCCGGCTGCATGCGAAGTTATTTGAACCATGCGTGAACTTAGTACTTACGGGGAGTCTGCGCGCCCACCGCGGCCACTCGGCAATTATAAGCCCCGCCCGCCGCGCCACTGTGACAGTGTGACGTCCATCTGTAGTCTGGAACCCCCTGGACAAGGCGCTGGAAAGTGGGACGAGGCTGAGGGCCGGCGGTGACGTCGCGGTGACGTCGGGGAGGGTGCAGCGGCCGCGAGGTGCCGCGAGGCAGCCCCGGCGCGCCCCTGACGTAAGCAGAGGCAGCGAGGCAGCGAGGCAGCGTCCAGTGTGCGAGCGAGACGGCGCACGGCTGCAGCCCCCGCCACTGTAGGCCACTGGCCGGCGCGTTCAGCCTTCGGGGGAAACCCAGGGAAACCCAGCGCACTGAACGGCGGATCGACTTTCGCGCTCTCGGGGAAGCGAATTAGCGAAGGGCCGAGCGAGCGTAGTGGCGGAGGGATAATTAATTTGAGTTCCCGGAGTGGAGTGCGCCCGTGGAAGGCGCCTCAGCGTCTCGGTTGTCCGTGGAGCTCGCGCGGAGGGAGTCATGTGGGTGTCGGGACTCTGCACGCAGAAAAAATGGCGCTCCTCGTCTCCGAGGACTCCACGGCCTCCGCGGCCGGTGGAGCCACCCGCTGCTCGGTGCAGCAGCAGCAAGGCGGCGCGTGATATAACAATGACGCAATGGCCGATGGCGGCCGACGGCGGCCAATGGCCACACCGGACAGCGCGTCGTGGCGTCCTGGCCGCGTCCAGGACCTCGTTGGCACCCCGTCGTTCGCCACAGCATTCTCCGCGCCAACAAGGCCCTGCTGCAGCCGGACAATCCCCACGTACACGCGTCGCAGCATTGCAGCAAGCACTAGGGGCGCCGCGGCCCGCAGTACTCACTTCGACTCACCTTGAACCAGCCAGCCTGCCGCAGGGCCAGGGCGGACCAGGGCAGGCACGCCGAGGGCGGCGAGGGCCACCAACCCGTCGCCCCCGGACGAAAACATGCCGCCTGCCCGCCTTTTTTCCGAGTGTGTTGGCACCAGCTGCAGGATGCCAGGGAGCGGAAACGGGCGCGCTGTCGCGCAGTAGGTTATTGGTTTCTCGTGCAGTGTTTCAGTCAGGCCTTCAGGCCCGCCGGCCGAAGTGCGCCGCCGTTTCCGCGAGGACCGATGCATGCTGACGTGTGTGAGCGACGGAAACGAGACAGAAAGAGCCTAAAGGCGCCTAAAGGGGCGGGGGCGAAGCGGGGCGAGGCGGGGCGAAGCCACACCGTTCTGGCACTGCCTCCATCTCCCCCTTTCCCTCGATTCGCGCTTGGCTGCAGTTTCTGCAGGCCGGGCGTGATGCTAACGGCCTGCACCCAGCAGCGCACTTCCAGTCCTTCCAGTGCTGCGGCGGCGTGGAAAGGCCAACGTCATCGCCATCACCCTCACCACCGAAAGTTCATTTCGTACATATCTCAGGCGGAGGTCGCGGCGAACAACAAGCGGCTGCCGCGCGACACGGCGACACCCGTTAGCATTGGGGACAAACCTGCTGCACCGCCGCGCCGCGCCGGATCCGGCAGGGTCCGGCAGCCGCCGGGTGCCGAAGGATCGCCCCGTCTCTCTCGCACGCCCACGCGGCGCTGCAAAGTGCGGGAGAGACAGAGCGTCGACATGCCCCTTCGGAACGAGACGGCACGGCGGCACGGCGGCACGGCCAGCACGTCCTTCGCCTCCACGACGACGCCTTCCGGGCAGGGTGCACCTACCGCCACGCCGCGCCACGCGCTGCTCCGCGACGTCCCCGTCATGAGGAACTCCCGGTACGGCGCCCGGCCGCCGCTAGCTGAACTGTAGCACTCCAAGGCCGCCGCCGTGTCGGACTCCGCCGCGGGGGAGCACGGAGCTCGCAGGCGGCCGCGCAACCCCCTGCCGGCTGACTGACTCCCCCCCCCCCCCCCCCCCCGGGCCGCCCCCCGAGTGCGAAAGAGACGGCGACAAAGCCCGCTCGCTGGCGGCGGTTATCGGGCCGCATTCAGCACACGACTATCACGATCAGCGCCGCGCCCAAGGCTGTTCTCTTTGTTTTAACGCCGTCCGCGGGGGGTACTTGAACCCTCTGCGAGGCGCACTCAATACTAATGACCGGCGCGGGGGTGCGGGGCTGCGGCTTGGTATCCGTATGTCCAAACTCGCTGGACGCATCCGCCGCGACACTCCATTTGCGGCACGTCGCATACGACGCATCGCGTATGTATAGCTTCAGTGGCACCCTGCAAAACCACGGGGGAAAAACTGCACGTCGAATGGCGTTCAGATACTGCAGGTCGAGCGGCCTCGATAACCTTCCGACGCCGAAGTCTGTCTTTCAAGAAGAAAATGCTCTTGGACAGCGGAAATGCTCTGGGGCTGTGAAATGCCCTTCCCCTGGCGCCGCCACTGCATGCCGGCGGGCGGACCGGCTTGCTTGGAAGTTGGAAGTCAACAAAGCGATAACAAAGATAACGCGCGCGCGGCAAGTCAGTCCGGTGCGGGTCCCGCTACATTGCACAGCTTTTCAATCCGAGGCGGGATCTGTCCGAAAAGGGTCCACGATGACGACGACGGCGGCGATAACGACGAGCGAATGATCGCGGCGCATCCCGCCCCCTTTCCCCTGTTCCACCTGCCGCCGCGCCGCTCCAGCCCCCGCACCACCTCTCCTGCGGCTGGCTGGCTGCTGGCTGGCTGCTGGCTGGCTCCCCGGTCCTCCCGTCCCGACCGGCGGCCGGCCGGCCCGGCACCACCCGGCACCACCACCACACCACCAAACCAAACCATTTGCTCGCCAGCAGCCGAGCCGCGAGCACGGGCACCGAAGCCTCGCGTCGCGCCGACCCAGCCAGCACGGGCAGCACGCCGGCCGAGGCAGCAACACCACCGGCACGGCCCGCGCGTCGCCGCGCGTCGCGTCCACGCCAGACAAACCTGTTTCGGAGGTTTGCCCGGACCAGCCGAACGAGTGTCGCGAACGCTGTCCCCATTCCCCGGCGGATTCCTGCCTGGAAAAGAAAAGCCCCACCGCCGGCAAGGAGTGCGCCACCCCGTCCGCGAGTGTGTGAGTGGGCGTGTGTGTGTGTGTGTGTGACCCAGGACAAGAGCGTCTTGTTTGTGAGTGTGTGTGCGTGCCCTGTTGGTGGATTACTGCGGCGCGGGCGGCCGTCCCGGTCACTTTCACGCTACTTGATCTAACAGGTGAGTTCAACTCGTGTCTGCCGTTCGCAGGTCTCGTCGTTTCGTCTGCACTCCGCACGCACTTGCAGTGGCGCGGCGACCGCCTGTCGTCGTCAAGGCAACGGGCCGGCTTCTTCTCGCTCTGCTTCGTCTGCCCGCGCTAGACTGGAAGGACCCGTCGCTCTGTCTTTGTCGCACTCTTGCGGCAGTCCGTGAAGGGCGCGAGAGGGACAGAGCGACGAACCGTTGGGCCAGAGGGTCTCGGCCGCCAAGTTTCGTCGCTAGTCAATAAACCCCTGAAATGTCGTTGGAATGCACCTTGCCGTGGTCCGCAGGCAAAACGTGCTGCGTGGGGCATCTGTGTTGTTTGCGTCACAACGCGCTCCTCGCGCGCGCAGGGGGGCGACAAAATGAACGAAGGCTTGAAAGCCTGACGGGAACAGTACGCAACGGCTCTCTCTCTCACCTCGCCATTGATTGGCCCGGCCCTTGTTTCGTCTCGCCCTCAAGGGTTGCCTCGTTGCCGCGATTTACGACGTGACACCTGTCGGCGGCGACACCTGGCCGGGTCGTATTTCAGAGCGAGGCGCGCCACCTCCGCGACGCGACGGCGAGCCACGGCGGGAGACTTGAACGCCGGACGCGCGTGGCGTCGCGGCGTCGCGGCGCCGTCCGCCGGAATCACTTCGTCATCCTGGCAAGCCTGGCGGGCCGACGGGCACCCCTCGGCGGCCTCGGGTCCTTTACCGGGGCCGGGCCGGGTCGACGGTCTGGTGCTGCATCGCGGCGGCGGCACCGCTGACCCTGCTGCACCGCCGCGCTGCACCGCCGGTCGGACTGGCCCCCGCCCCGCCCCCCGCCCCGCCCCCAGCGTCGCCCCCAGCCACCCATACGTGGAGTCCGGCCAGGACCCCGCCGTCCTGGCGGCCCGGCGGCCCGGGGCACGTCCAGGGGCCCGTCCAGGCGCGCGGCTCGGCAGGTTACCGTTACAGGTAGTCTCGGAGGCTGGCCCGGACGACGGCCTGGACTACGGCCTGGTCTACGCGTGATTGCGCGCTTTGGATGCCTGCTCTCCATCCGAGGTGCCCGTCTCGTCCTGGCCCTTGGCCGCGCCCGACCGGCTGTCTGTGCGTGTGTGTGTGTGTGCGCGTACACGTGTGCTTACATGTGTGATGTTCGTGTGTGTGTGTGTGCTGGGTGCAAGCCGTGCGACGACTCCGGCTTTATAATGGCCGGGTTGGCCTGACCTGCTGAATCCTGACCTGACATACTTTTCTTTTCGATGTCTCTTTTTTTTTGAGCGTTAGTATGTGTGCGTGTGTGTGTGGCTGAAGAGGTGTGAAGGTCAAAGACCTGCAGGATCTGCTGCTGCTGACCCGTGAATTCTTGGCAGCAGAGTGAGAAGTCGTATTTCGGTCTGGAGTGGGTCCGTCTCCGGGGGAATATCTCACTTCGGTGGCGCTCCAGGCTGATTCCGAGCGGGGCTCCCGTCGGGCTGTCTCTCTCGCACCACAAGGAACGCCCCATGAATGAGAGAGAGAGACAAGACAAGTAGGGGCAGAGACCTCCCGCTCGGAAGGAGTGTGCCGGAGAAGGGTCCAGGCTCAGCCTTGACCGCCGCAACGCCCCACAACAATGCGGAGGGTCCTCCCAGCGCCCATCGCGCTGTCTCTCTCGCACCCGTGGGGGCCGTGGGGTGCGAGTGGAACGGGGAGACTGGCCCGCGGCGCGGCCATGCTAGACACTGTTCGGCCGTTCGGCCCGACGATGCCCGCCCTGTAGTAACGACTCGGGACTGCGCTGGCCGTGCCATCGCCCTGGCGGCCCTGGCCTAGGCAGCCGAGGACAGAGCGCCGGTGCACTGGAAAATCGAATTATTTTGCTGTGTCGCCCTGGTTAAGCCCAGACGCCTCTCTCCCCGTTCGGACCGTTCGGACTCCAGGACGAGCGTCGTGAAGTAGAGGGGGCCGTTGCCTGCCCCCCGCTGGGAAGGCGCGGGCACTGCTTGGCGGACTCGGCGGTCCGGCAATCTGGTTCCGAACTATCGTCGCTCTGTCTCTCTCACTGATGGGGCTTCCCGCGGCGGTGCGAGAGAGAGACTGCTGGTCGCGAAAGGCGCCCCTTTGTGGCTGCGCGTAATCCGTTCCATCCTGGAGTCCTGGAGCTCCTGGAGCAGTGCCTTGGCAGTGTGGCCGCGCGTCCAGCGGCCTCACCTGCCCAGCCTGGCCTAGACTGCCTATCCCACCTGGCTCTCAGGTAAAAGGATGGTCTGGGAATAAAGGCCTCCCGTCCGAGCTGTGCCCCCCCCCCGCTCCCCCCCCCCCCCGCCCCCGCTTCCAGCATCCCCCACCTCCCTATGGACCACCTCGCTGGCCAGCCACAGGTACACAAGGTGCATCCAGGAGGGACCGTCAGCAAACCACGCTGCCTTTAAACCGAAAAAAAAATCTCCCTTCAAATAAAAAACGCTTGCGGCAGTGTTATGAATAGCTATTTTTTTTGACAAACTAGTCTTATTTTTCACAGACAACGATTAGCAAGAAAACTGGTGCGAATGCTAATGAGACCTGGAAGCTTGATCCGCATTCACGGCTGTCTGCTGAAACTGGAGTCATATTTGTCATGCGTCCTCCAAGCTCGACGACCAAGTCCGCTCAGCATTTTGGTTTTATTTCTCTAAGAAGCATGGTGGTTCTCGCGACAGCGGCACACTGTCAAAAGCTCTAGAGTGGCGCAGAGAGTGTCGGCTGAGATGAAGATTAATCCGCGGCTGCGCAGCTTCTGCCGCCAAAGTGGCGGTGGCTTGGAGCTGGCAGTGGCATGGCAGTGGCTCGGCCGGCTGGGCGCTTCGAATGCCCGCTTTCGTTTTCCCAGGCTAGATCGGCTAGACGGTGCCTCGGACGCCATCGGCCATCGCCCGCCATCGGCGTGTCTTTGGACCCCCAGTGCAGCGGAGCGGCCGTCCTGGCCTCCGCGGCTCCGCGCGTTGCGCCACTCATTTGCTTCTGATTCCGGGCGAGGGCGCTGGCCGGCCGCCGCAGGCTGCAATAACCGGGGAAGTGGGTTGTTGGCGGCGATCCGATCCAAAGACGGTTCTGCAACCAGAACAGGAAGGCGGCGGTGCATGGCCCGGCCGGGCTTTGGCAACCGGCCTGCTCGGCTCGGACCGCTCGGACCGCACTCGCTGACAAAGGGCGTCTGATTGTGTCAAGAAGCGCTGCCCGCTCAAAATAACACGAAAAATGGAAGAGCGCGGCCCGTGAATGAGAGACGCTGAGCCTGGTTTACGCTCTTTGTCGGACACGCTGGCGCGCGGGGCGGCGCGGGGCGGCGCGAGATTAGTTGACCTGTTGGCCGTCGCGCTACTAAGCGGCTTAGGCCTTGTCAAGCAAGCCCCCCACCCCCACCCTCGCGCTCCGCGGCGGAACTCTCGCCGCCACTGATTGGCTGCTTTTGTTTTCGCGCCAAAAAACAACAGAAAGACGCGTGCAGCGACGCGGGGAGTATGAATAGCCCTGGGTTTAGTCGAAATTCGACCCACTGCAAAAACGTACTGTGAGAAAATCGAAAACAAAAACCTGTGCAATTAGTGCTAGCTGATCGTGTCAGCCAGAGAAAAATGAGATTTTCTTGTTTGAAAATTGAAGTAGATGGGAATCACGAAAAAAGCGCCACGAGCAAAAAATATTTCCAACAAAAGTGTCTAAAAACATAGATGACAACTGAAATGTGGTTCTCGCGACCCGTTTTTCCGGCGCCTCGGCTCCGTTGGCGATAGCGGCGCCACGCCGCGTCCCAGGACCATGTCCCAGGTAGCGTTCCATCCTCATCCTGCCAGCTGAGCCGCCCCGCCCCGCCCCGCCCCCCCCCCCCGGCTCACTGGGTCACTGCCTCCTCGGCGTGCCGGCGGCATGTAATTTGCGGCGTGTAGGGGCGGCGGGGCGGGGCGGGGCGGGGTGGCTCGTCGGTCTCCTGCTCGCCAAACACGGTGGTAGAAAATTGGCTGCAAATCGTGTTGTTGTCTTTTTGTTGTACCCGCCGCCAGCCATGCCCGTCCTGTCCGCGACGCACTTCCGCCCGCCCCGCCCCGCCCCGCCCCGCCCCGCCCCGCCCCGTCACGCGAGTACGCGAGGCGCGGATCGCTTTAAGGGCGTAGTGGCCCGACTCGCCGTTTTCCCTTTTCTTATGTTATGTGGGTTTATACCTTCGCCCGCCTCGCCCGCCTCGCCCGCCTCGCCCGCCTCGCCCCTCTCTCCGGCGGGGCCGACCGAGGCGCGGTCAGACCGGTGGAGCGCCCTGCCCGCTCCGCCCCGCCCCGCCCGCCCCGCCCCGCCCCGCCCCGCCCGGTCGTCTCGGTATTCGTGACCCCGTTTCCTTGCGGCCCGCTGCTCCTCTGCTTTTACCTTGCCCCGGGTGAAGGTCAGCCCTTCACCGTGAACGAGGGAGCGACGCATCGGCCGAGTGCGTGTGCGTTCCTGGGGAGGAGAAAAAACAACAACAAAGTAAGTCGGGGTGCCGCGCCGTGCTGTGCTTGTTAGTGTCGTCTGCCCGCCCTTCGCCGCCCTTTCCCCTTTGACCTGCTGCACTGAAAGTGAAAGCACGCACTGTCCGCCTCGCGTTGTCGCCGCCCCCGCCGCCCCCGCCGCCCCCCGCCGCGGAGGTGCTCAAGTGGTGACCCGTTAAGTTTATGAGCCCGGCAAGGCAGCGCCATCTTGTTTTTTCCTGTTTTTGCGTGAGTTCAGTGTTTAGCTCGTCGTTATTTGCCCCCGCAGCGGTACCCGGTTTGGGCGGTGCCGCGCGGTGCCGCGCGGTGCCCAACACGAACGAGCCCCCGCGGGGGAGGCGGGCCGGCGGGGCCTAACAGGACGCGGCGTTCCTAGGCGGGGCTGGCGGGCCTAGGAAGCGAGGAGCAGCCAAGCGGTGACGCGGCGCCCCGCAGCGCTGCATCGGTTCCGTCATCCTTTCTTGTGTTAGTCAGCGGTTGCCCCGTTTCCGTGGCAGGGAACTGGCGCGGCAGTGCG